AAAACTGTTAATTTCTTTCTCAACACTATACAATGGGATAAAACAACACACACAAAAAATCATATAATGAAATTTAACAGAAAAACGCCATTACTGAACTGCATCTGCAGAAAGTTCCTGTCAGCTCTCAAGTTCTAAATGGTGAATTCCACCATCTTCACCTGGTTCTTAGCTTTCAGCTGAAAGTCTGTCCCTCCCGAATAACTGCGCATCTGGAATGTCATTTGCACAAAGGGTTATAAAAGATTATACACATTGTTATATTGTATGGTGCTTATGAAGGAGTCAAAACCTTTTTAGCCTCATGCAAGAAAAGTGCTACCCTGAGTCCCTGGAGTTTCTGCTGGGTTTAGTCTGCACTTGTTTCAGTTTGCAGCAACAAAGGAAAGAAATGAGCGACAGCAGAAGTTAAAATTCCATCCCATTTTTGTGCTACTCGGTGGTCTGGCTCAGCTACCGTACTTGCTAACACGTATTATTACACATTTTTAATGTTTTGAACTGTGATTAAAGTGTTTGCATCTTCTGTTACAGTGATCTGTGCATCCTGTCAAGCCTATCACAATACATAAAAATTTCTAAATAAATGACAGATCAACTGAATGAAACAGAACTCAATGTGCTTGTTCACGTATCTCATTTTGCTCATGCAAATTTGAATTATTGAAAATCTATTAACAGCGGGCTTTTCTAATCAGGAAACCAATCCAAGGACTTATTCACAGCCTGCAATCTTAACTCTTTTACTGAGACAAAAACAAAGTCTCGGTACTAGACCTTGTTAAAATTAAATATTATTAAACTTTACTACTGTCTGGAAGTTGACACTAGCTTACTTCTCTCTTAGCTGTTCAAAACATTTGTCACAGGACAGGTATGTCTCAGGGTTGGAAATTACTCCAACCTCCATTTCACCAACTTCTGAGGATGGACCTGTGTCTTTTCAAGTATCTTTTACCACTAATACAGAAGCTTTCCATTGTCGTACAGTCCAGGATCAGGGCTGAAAAACATTCCCATCTGCTGCTTTTCACATTTCTACAGATAACACTGAAAAACAAATTTTCATGAACTTAGATAAGGAGTCCTAGACTTCAATCCCTTTAGTCAAACCTAGTTAACAAATAAGTAGTGCCTACATCAACACTTTAAGCCCAAACAAGTACATAAATCATGTAGAAAGACGGTGTTCACATACAATTGCTACTATTTTTTAAGATTTTTAAAAGACTTTTTGAAAACAAAATGACATGATGAAGGACCGTGTTAAGTGTCACAACTGAATATGGAAGAATAGAGCCATGTTCAAGATATTACAACAAGCAGCTTTCATCCCTATCCCTGGCTTCAGAATTAATTAATTCAATGTTTTGCAAGAGTAATTCAGGCAGTTAAAAAATGTCAGAACTGAAGCAGGCCCAGGTAAAGTATAGGGTACAAAATGGACAGGTTCTATTGCTGTCGAGTTTCAAGGAATCCTCCCAGACTTGGCTTAATGAGGTTCTCTAGATCAATACGCTACTACCCACTGCACAGAGCCAGACGAAAGGCAAGAAGCCTCCTCTCATTTGTCGCCTTTCTTATGCTCTGAAAACCCACTTAATAACCTAGAGCTTAATACCAGCGAAAAATAATGAATAAGGGCTTGAACACTGCTACACCACATAAAGCACTGCATTTGTTTCCTGTGCAGTTGTCAAGAACACAATCCCCCATCTTGTTTTGCCTTAGAATGCAGGCAAAATAAATCACGTCGTTACCCATCCTCTCACAGCTCAGCCTGGCCCAGCCATTCCCGGACGTCACCACACAGAGTGGCAGAGGACACAGGCCGCAACTGTTACTGGGAATGACGGGATTCGGGTCTGGAATAAGCACTGGGAATGGCTGATTGCCATTTAGGACTCTCCTCCGCCTCTTCCTCCACAGTCCCCAGGAGGAATGAGAAGGAGAGAAGGAAGTTAACTCCCTGGAAAGACACACTTGAGGTCTCTAGCAGGGAGTGCAGGGCAGCTCTCAGGGAACAAACAAGCCCTCGGATTGCACTCCAGGCAGTATCTCGGAGGACACCTTTTTTTAAATAAAAAAAAGCAGTTTTCGGTTAAAAAAATAATAAATTAAGAAACAGCAGATCAAACTCAAAGACGGGTATAGAAGATACTTAATCCGTCTTTGAAAGGACTGGAGGGGTTACGTTAAAAAAATTATTTCCAATTTGTTTTCTTCCCCCATTACACCTGCCCAGCTTTCTTGATCTGTTCAAATGTTCATCATTTAGCTTTAGCTGAGTTAGCCTCAGAAACCCTCACTCCCAACGCGCCTGTAAAACTTACATAACACCCAAGCCAGCCCATACTATAAGTCCCACAGACAACACAACAGTTATAAGCACTGGGTAGAGGAAGGACACTACTCGCACTTCTAACACTGAAAGCTGACAGCTGCCTGGCCAGACACAGACGGTCAAATGAGCTGTCCTTCCCAGCCTGAGCCCCACCTAGCCAGAACGCAGGCAGCCAACTGTAACACTGTCTAGGAAACCCCAACCACACTGGGAAAATAACATAACCCAGACCAAAAACCTATAATGTGGACTACAACATGATCTCCACCAGATGCCTCTGCTGATGCAGCTTCCTGAAAGACAGCGGGCTACCTGATACCTGTCAAAATCAATCAAAATCAAATCAAAGTTTATTTATCAAATGCACAACAATATGGCGTGCATGTTTAAGAGTGGCCCAAATGATACATTTTTTTCTTCTTAATAGGGGTAATTTAAATGGCTGAATACTGTTTCCTTTGATGGCAATTTGCCCTGTTAGAACAAAAAAAACATCAACAACAAACTGCAAAATCATCATATTTTTTTTTACTTGATCATCATAAAAAAACTACATTTCCCAAAGAAATTAATTATTCATTTTTGCAAATTTAAAGCATGTTTCAACGTTTCTTGGAATTGTCTAGTTATTCTCTTCTTGGAGTTTGAAATACTGCCCAATTATCTTCTTCCACACAGAACAGTGTGATGGATTAGGATACAGTAGCAGCTATTGCTGATCAATGACTGCATCTCTTTCATGAACAGGATCAATATCAAACTTCTACAATGTCTTGTGCATTTTACCATTATGTGCCACATTCGTTTTCTCGTAACAGTTTAAATGGATTTTGCATGGGCGACGTGCTAATGCCATCGATAAAATCAGACCCTAAATGATTTGCAGGGTTTGACACATTTTTCTTGAATTTTCAGCTACAGTGGTTTGACTTCATCTGCACGACAAATCAAAGCAGCAGGAGCAATGGTGTGCACACGGCTGGGCACAGAAAATGACTAACACCCATGACTTATGACTACTGCATCCAAGGATATGAATCCAGCAAAAAAAAAAAACAGGAAAATTATATCAGATATGCTCCTTCAGCAGCTGTTTCCCTTTATTAAAAAAAAAAACTTGAGACTTGAATGTTTGACTCAATAATTATGTCTATATAGCAGCAATCAATTTTTTTTTTATTTCTCTTTAAGCTATATAAGAAATTTAACCATGATGATGCCAAAACACTATAGGAGGAAAAGGAAAAAAAACAGAAGCACAAATGAATATGAAAGGCTACATCTGGACCGGAAATCTGAATTCAGCACCCTTTTCCTTTTTTTTTTATTTCAGCTCGACTTAATCCAATTAAAAATATCTTTCAAATGAAAACATGCCAATTTCCAGTTAATCAAAGAGTCTGAAAAGCCTTTGCGGGCATCCTTGTAATTAAAATCACCTACGATGCCTTTAATTAAATATTTGGAGAACTAGTAAAACCTACTGCGATTATCCAAGTATGGCTATCCCTATACCCTTCAAGCAGATGTTCTTTAAATGAATAGTAAAATTTCCTCAAACCTGCACTAGTTAAATCCTCACAGAGAGTGAGGCATGTGAATACCTAATTCTTGCAGTCTCGTTTTTTTAGATTAACAAAAATGAGAAGTTGCCCGTCTCCAGCAGGCAAAACACTTGGACTTCTTAATTCTTCAATGGCTTAAGAATTGGCTAGATAACTAAACCATACAAACCAATGTGTTTTTAAATGACTCCAGCGATCATGTCACGGCTTTGCTGCCTCCCAGACTCTATCACAGCTGACACAAGCAACATGTTATAACCAGAGAATAAGAACATTACAGTTGCAAATGAAAGGATGCCATTTAGCCCATCTACCTGTTTGGTAGTTAGTGGCTGAAAGATGCAAGGATGTCAACTAGTTATCATATGAAAGATGCCTGGCTTTCACAACACACCTGGGTAGCCTGTTCCACACCCCAAAACGGGACTGAACCCAAGCAAACCCAAGCACAGCAAGAGTGTGACCGCCAAGTGACCCGAGGGTCACAGATCCTTCGCCATTTCTGCCTTTTAAAACCCAAGGAAGAGAAAGGACAGAGCAGTCAGATTACCCGCTTCCTCCAAACCACGTTTCAGAGAAAACCCCAGTGTGCAGAAGTTGTCACAACATGTTTTTCAGCTGAAATAAACACGTTTGGGCAACTTTGGTCACCCCCATGTAACTTATTAGTCAGGAACAGCACACTTCTCAAAACGTGTTTTTCAGCCCGAAATAAATGCGTTTTTTCAGACTGTTGAATCCCAATGTAACTGCCTGGCTCAAAGAGCCCACTGAGTCAGCCCTTAACCCCAGTGTGCAGAAGTTGTCAAAACGTGTTTTTCAGCAGAAATAAACATGTTTCTGCAACTTTGGTCATCCCCATGTAACTTATAGGGCAGGAACACCACAAACCGATACTCTGTGTGAGCAAGAATGGAGGTGGAGGAGGTCCAGCCCGCAGGGAAGCTTGTGGCGGTCTTTCACCTACACCATTAGGAATATACTTGGACTTGAGCAACTGAGGACTTGAGGAGGGGTCTGCAACTAAACAAGAACATGCCGTGTATTTCAACCTTGAAATGTCTCTTCCAGTTCTGTAGGCTTAAACTCACCCATAGCTTTGGTCTCCTCTCCTTTGGCATTGAGGATGGAGAACTTGAACTTGGCACGCACTTCGCTCTTGGGACAGCTGACCAGGAGCAGGTATAGAGACAGGTAGTCTTTGCTCTCCTCATCTAGCCCTTTAGGATTCACTCGCAGACACCTGGAAAAGGCAGAGCTGCGTGTCAGTTCCCCTCAGCTTGCTGGATTTCACCAGACTCACGAGCGTTCGGTTCAGACTGACACCTTCATTGCTTCAGCCGGCAAGTGCCTGCAGGGTGCAGAGGGAGGCATCAGCATGTAAATGGGATATAAATTGGGCTCCTAACAACACTGCAGACATTAAAGGTTTGGAAGCCCCATTAGCTTATTATTGATGATTATGATGATGAATAACAAAGCACTCTTCCTACCTGGCATAAGTTAAAAAAAAACAGGCAGACATCACCACTGTTTGGCAAGCTGAGGAAAACTCTGGGCCATTTGAAAGAATCCCCAGAAACCAGTACTAGGGCAGCTTCTGCATTAACCCCTGGGCAATCCCAGGAGAGATCATGATCCCAGCCTGCAATCCAAGCTGAAGCTTTTACCACAGGCGCTGTTAGGAAGGCTGACGATTCCAAATTTCTGTGTAAAAGCCAACCTGCCATTAATTTCACCACGCAGCGGCGCCAGCTCTGTCCCCCCTCATCACCAGACTCTCACCATTTCAGTTTGTCGTTGGCTCCTGACGAGAAGGTCGAGCTCTTGATCACCTCGCCCATCTCCTCCCGGCAGAAGCTGAAGTTGTTGATGGTCCACATGTAGGAGAATTTCACCACTTTAATCTGTCCAGAGACGCCCAGCAAGGCCAGGAAGAAGATACTGATCAACATGCACAGCAAAGCCAGCGTCCATCTCTCCAAACCACCCCAGCAGGAGACGGTGTCACAGCAGAAAATCACAGGAATAAGACCGTAGGTCTTTGCAAGTTTAATTCATGGTGTTCAAAGAGTGAGACTATTAAGTGCAAATAAATGAAAGTTGGATAATCCATTCTTGCAAAGCTTTCAGGTGCAAGTATGTACCGCCTGCAAAGCACACGAAAACCATTTCTAAACTGGACAATGAATCTCTGTGCCAGACTCACTGCTTATCTCTGAGACCATCCCATAGTTGTTCAGTGCTGAATTTACTAATTCTGTGCTTGTAGAGATTTTCAGTATCAATATCAATTAGTTAGCAAATAAAGAAGGGAAAACTACTACCGCTTTTGGCATGTAAAGCCATCAACAACTTGTAAAAATCAAAGCAGCAAATTAATAACACATAGTACCATCCTCCTATTTGCTCAATATTGGTAACTTGGTAACTGCTAGCTGCTTACAGGAAAAAATAACCTTGCTTAGTGTTGATTTTGATGTGTAACTAAATGACTTTTATTGCCTTTCTTAAGCAAATTATTATGCAACTTTAATCAGGGAGTTCTGGATTTGGTGCCCTTTTCAAGGGTAATAAAAAATGAAGTTTTAATCAAAGGAGTATTGTGTTTTACTGACTTGTGCATCCTTTCAGGTGTAAGAGCCGTTCTTGGCTGTAAACACACACTTTCATTCATACAGAATGACATTTCCAAGAGGCTGCCAACAAAAGCCAGTTCTCCAGAGACACTCCCTGCCTCGACACAGAGGTTTTGTTCATGCATGTGAGTGCTTCACTAATACACTTACCAACACACATGCTGAGTCACACAGAGCACAAACATGCACTCTCTACCACAGAGGACGCGTCGCGCTCCGCAGAGCGGACACAGCCCACAGACTCGCAGGCCCACTCTCTCAGACTCGCTGCCACTGCACCGCCATTTTCATCGGCTCCGGGTTTTACCTGCTGGCTCTCAATAGACACCGCAGCGAGAAGCAGAAAAGCCCAAAACTATTTGCGAATTCTCCTGACTCTCCTATGCAAACTTACACCGAGGGCAACCGGCAGAAGACCCAGCCCCTGATTTCTACACCCCAGGCTGGAGTGGGGGGCAGGTAAAACCCGAGACGGCTCCGGCGGCAGGGCACTGGCAGCTCCGCGCCCCCTCTCTGGGTACCTGAGTGTAGCACCAGCTCTCAGCCACAGGCCCGCTTGACATTTCCGCGGGGGGAGGAGGACTCGGCACTCTTGACATCGCCAGCTTTGACAGCGAGAAGGAGCGCTTGGGTCGCCAGGTAAAAAACAGACAGATTAAAAAAGGGCAGACAGCTGTCTTCTTTCTGCAAAAGATAGAAGAACAAAAAAAAAAAAGAGAGATACCTTTCACTTTTCAGAAACGAACAAATTATTGCTTTGGCACTGACAGTATAATACACCATCCATAGCTCTCCCCAGGCTCGTAAATACAATATCGGGGGCAACATGAAAGCCTCTTTCGACTGCACCTCATGCCTTTGAGTGCCACAGTAACTCTTTCTGTCGACATTCAAAATCAGAAATCAAGAGTAACTGACAGGAGTGTAAATGTTGAGTAAATACTTGTATCGGGAGAGCACAAAAGATTGCTTGTCACATGAGACTGCCGGGGTCTGAATCTGAAGGACACTGTGTAAGGACAAGACATTCATGGACATAAATCAAACAGCAGACTTTCTAGTTCACCTGAATTATAGCCAAAGCCTACAGCAAAGATCTCTTTTAATATATACCAGAGGTGCTATATAAATCACTCCTTGATCACATAAAAAGTGACCTTTTAAGATCAATTAAAATGCACAAAAATGCCATATAAATCACTAACAGATCCTCTAAATGATTCTAAGTCTTTCGCAAGCAGGTTTACAGCATAAATATTGACACATTAGAGTGAAAATTATTATTATTATTAATGCAACTATTATATTACAATCAAGCAATTTGTATTTGTGATCATGAGATTAAGACAAAAGACAAACAAAACATGATATTTTAATTTATCATATATTTAATTTTTTGGTAATTCCCCTGCATACATGTGATACTAGAACTAGATACTAGAAAGCATATTATATATTCAACCCAGCGATTTTAAGTGGCCATAAACACTGGGGCACGATCATGTTAGATTCATTTCAGAGTATGCAAGTTAGTATTTGGTTGCATATCCCTATTAGGCAATAACCGCCTGAAAGAAAATGCTCTGTGTAGTATTTCGAGATGTTTGCAAAGTCTTTCTTCAGCAGTCTAACATATTTCACCATTCTCTCCTGACGAACTCCTCGGCTGCACTGTCCCCAGGGTTTGAGTCCCTGCCATGCAGCACGGAGAAGCGCCACCCAGCAATTTAGAAAGCTTATTGTTCCTCATACGGGGGTGAAATGTACCAGTGTCAGCTGCCACCTTTACTTACATCATGGATTAAGAGGGGAGAGGCAGCAGGCCCAGGGGCATGCAGCTCCCGCCTTTCCCTCACTCTGGTCAAGTCGCATCTTGGTTTCAGCTCTGTTCCAAAACTCTGGCTCATCTCAGGCTTTCTGAGAAAACGATTTTCTGTTCTTGGCACCCACGAGGGTCACCTTGCGGTGCGGCCTGTGAAATGATGCTCTCTACCGTCTGCACTGTGGACAGTTGTTTCAGGGTTTTAGTGGACAATTTTGACCAATTCAAATGCACTTTTCTCGGCCAGTCTATTTTTGGCTGACTGGTAATTATACCGGTGGTTTCCTTCTTCTAGCACAAATTCAACAATTTGTTATTCGTTAAGAAAGGCCTAGTTTCTGAGGCATTCTTATGTTCCTACACTATGATTATGATCACGTTTCCTTTATTTCAGCTTCATAATTGCTTGCTTTTCTTCAACAGAACATTCTTGGGTTTCATTTTGACTTTGAAACTACCAATCCAAACACTGGAGTCAAACTGAGGCAGGCTCTTATACACCAAATTACCCAACAAAGGAAACCTGCCAGCCATTTGTCCAAATATCTCTGCTCCTTCAAAATTAAGAGGTTCAACACTGAATTGACTTTATTACAAAAGTCTTAAGAGTTGTACTTATCAGTACTTTTTAATGAGTTCACATTGACAACCCCCAGTATATACTGCACTATCCAAATACTTGTACTTGTTCAGGGCACATTAATTGCAGCCCAACAACTCTGCCTTGTGAGAGCAAGTGGAGAATGAAATGGCATACTCATTCACAGAAATCATTCTTATGGAAAAGAAGCACAGTTAGGATATATTTTGCTAGTGCAAAAAAAGTGACAGCACGGTCAGACACTTTCTCTTATCTCCAAACCCTGTTTAATTAGCCCCTCTTCCCTTTTTTTCTTCTTCTTTCAGGAAAAATCAACGCTTGTTCAAAAACAATGTGATCCCATAAGAGCAATTATACACAACTGATTAAATGACATCCAAATTCTCAACAGTGATCCCGTGGAAGCTATTTTACTGCATAAACATATTCAATTTCTTAAATCTAATCTACCACTGCACACTAAGAATTAGGCATCTTTTGGGTAGAAACTATCATTTTATGTAAACACAATGCTATCATTGTCTACAATTAACACTTTTTTCTCACCCAATACTCAAGTAAAACTCGGCTTTTTCAGGGAAAGATAACAGCCCTCCGATCAAAACTCATTTGGTAAGGGATGCAGGACAGGAAAACATTTAGAAATAGGAAGAATACAACCTAGATCATGATGATCCCTAGGATATAGGTCTTCAGGGGAGAGAGCACAGCGGAAGGAGCAGAAAAGCCAGAGGGAAGAGGGGCTCATTTCCACTCAGTCATGACTGATGAGTGTCTCTGACATTGCGCTTCCATCCTGGAGAGGACAGCGTGTCCTCACAGGTCGAAGGGAGATCTGCAATGAATAAAGATTAGCAGCCTACTCTGGGCATCTTGCTTAATGGGCCTTTGTTTCAGAAGGCTACATATCAAACAATCGGACAAGGCTAGTTTACTTTTTTTTAATGAGCTGAGCATCCTCACAGGTTTAAAACCAAGGGCCAGTGTGGGATAGATCAGCTCCCAACATACCGGCCATTGCAGGCAGACGCCACCTGCATATTTTATTCTCAAAGTATGTAGGTATTAAATGGCGATCCAACTTCATCATGTTTACAACTTTAAATGAAGGCGGCTGAAGAGTCCTTAGTATTCTGACTGTGTCCTGTTCACAGTGTGGAAATACTGGGCTGCCTCATTCCCGTCTCCCACCTCCCTTCACACTCACATCACAACCACATTCAGAATTTGATCAGATCCTCCGGAGCGGCAACTGAATTTACAGATCCAGATGTGCTACAATACAAATCCACGCAGCAACCATCTTTAATTAAGACTCGTTTGGATCTGAAAGGGAGGAGCCATGATCACAGACACCCTCCACCCCCCCTAAAAATAGACACCTCGATATGCAGATCTTTATTGATGCAAGCATCACTTAGGATGTAAGTGGAGCAGACCTTTTTCACTTTTAAAAATAAACTTTGAGTCTATGAGATACTGACTAATGTGTACTGCGTAAATTGTGTTGTTGTTTTCGTTGGGCTGCACTGTGACAAATTCCAATCAACCTTGCGAACAAGTATGGAAAACCCTGCTGATGCTATTGGTGATGCTGGAGCAGGTAAGCAGGTGTTTTTTTTTTGCCCCAGTGTTCAGACTGGTGATACCATGCTGAATGGTGCGGTCCTTTAGATGAGACATTGAACAGGTCATTAAAGAAGATCCCATGGCATAATTTGCCAGAGTAGGCAACATTCCATGAAGGAATACTTCCCTCCCGATCTACTGTGGGGGGGGCTTGCTGGCTCAAAATAGATGCCACAGGTCACCCAAAGAGCTGATGAACTTTAGTGGAGGACAAATTGATCCCTTTCTATATGTACAAACGTGAGATACTTTGGGCTCAGAAGCACTCAAGTAAGTAATTATGAATTATTACAAACCACTAACATTTTTCCCAGCTGTTTTCAATAATTCCCCCAGGAATTATTAATTCTGTAAATAAAAATGCTAAAACACGGTTGCATGACCTACAAATATGCTCAGGTGTAGTGTTCCTTACTGTTCTTCTGTGCTTTCCAAGTACAGTAGTAGTGTCTGGGGGCCTGATGATCTTTAGGAAAAATTGATTTTTCAGTCAAAGTTCAGTTGTTTGCTGTAAATGTAATAAGGGGTGAACTACACAAGGATGCATACATTATATTAAATACATTAATCAAAAACATGATCACCAGCACTAGTGAAAGTGCCCAGAATTAACCACTCTTGCCCCTGCAAGTACTGTTGTTTCTAATAACCTTATTACCAGAATTCCTAATACAGCAATATTGCACATGAATAATGGCAAGGAATATTAAGTCACCATCACTATTTTGCTACATGCAAAAAATGTTTTATGAATGAGTTATAAATATTCTTGGGATCGGCAAGATCATATTTGCACCAAAAGCATTTAAAGGAAGAAAATGTGACCAAGACCCATACTGTGGTCCTAATTGACTCCTTAAGAAAAGGAGCTCGATGGGAACATAGACTGAGCACTGCGGAGCAGGCGCTGTTGCTTCATGTCTGGGCAATGTCATCACCTGGCCACCCTATTTTACTACGAAAGCGAGACCCCCGTGACCAGTGATGGGACCCTGCAGCCATGTCAGTGAGAGTGGTGCCAGTCTGGCAGCCAGCAGTCCACTGTGGGGTCCACTGTGCAAACAGACGTTACTGGGACGCAGCAGGTATCACAGGAAAGTGCAAAACATCTTCACCCTCCTATCGTGGTGTGAGCCTCACAAGAGAGATGGATTACAGATGAATGGACTCCATTCAGTCCACTCTGCTTAGGTACAAGTAGCTGATTCATCAATCTACGACTTCTATGCAGCCAACAATATGGGGCATCGGCTTCCAGTCTCCCACTACTCTTTGTGTAAAGTCCCTCCAGCTCTTGCTCTGGAACCCATGTTGTTTCCCTGTGACCCTGAAAAAGTCCACCAACACTGCAATCTCAAGGCATCCCTAAACATCCACAATATGAAAAAACAATCATCTGTGAATGATTTCATGAAATGTTACGGCATTTCAAGGTCTAAAGCAGAACGTGCTGAAGTAGCTTACAGGAAAAAAAACAGAGGCTGGTCTGAAAAATAAGATCTAAAAATGTGATACAAACAATATTACAGAAGAGAATTTATAAAACCTAGTTACATTTTTTGCTTAATAACAACTTGCTACAAATACGAAAATAATTACATCCTGATTGCTGCTGGTAGCTTTAAGCAGATGTAGAGTGCACTCAAGGTGCCCTAAACTTACAGATTTCAGGATAGAATTCAGAAGTATAAAAGCGCTCTTGAACTCTTCAAACAGGCAGATCAATACTTCAGATACAGACAGATCAATAGAGCCACAATGGTAATTAAGCTAAAACCAAACTGTAAATAAACAGCTCTCTCTTTAGCCCCGATCACTCAAGCCCTGTGTTGAACTGGATTGAATTTTACATGTAAGTGTGGGCAACTGCCCCTTCTGTTGTGACATCATCAGAACACCATAACAGCCTTTCATGACACCTATGAAAGCAACAGCACATCCATGTATCCAGGTTCCATGACAACAGAATAACATCATAATCTATAAAGCTGCCCTTGGAACTGTGTGACATCACTAGAATTATTTACCACATTGCTTTGAGAGTAAGCATAAGCTGTTTATATAACTGTACTCCTTAATTCTCGGAAGAAGGCTCAACAGCCAAAATTGTTTTTTTCTTACTTTCAACGTGGAATTCAATTTAATTTGCTCATTTGTTGCTGCATTACCAGGGCATAGTATTCAAATATTAGCATCAGCAAGTCAATAGTAAGCAAAAACAAGAACCTATTTAGATAAACAGTTTAATGTCACCTTTAGTCTTCTCTGAACATTGTAATTTGCATAGTCTCATCCACTGATTGCTAGAGATTGTGATTAGCGATGTGCACAAAAGTGAAACATTTCAATGCAACAAAGCAGTAGTGCTCAATCTGAAGTTACTCTCTCAGGTTGGTCGAAAAAAAAGCAGGACAGACCTTCCAGATCCACTCAGTAAACACTGGAATAACCAATAAGCCACAATTAATTCTAATGCTGATATTTGATATTACAATTCTTGTGCTTATTTGACAGGAACATGAACATACAAATTAGAATCCAGAAAAAAAGAAAATATTGCATTATCTCAATAAGTTTCAAATGTTTCAAGCAAGACTGAAACCCATTTTCATTCACATCACCAATGCCCTTCTCTCAACAGGTTGCACTGTCTCCTGCTTTTCCACAGGAGAAAGCAAGAGGCTGGTGCTAAGGACTTTAGGACTAAAAACTTTTAAACCCATAACAAAATTACAAAAATACATCTTCTTTCAACCCTTTAATTGCTATGACAGATCTGCCTCCATTCACAATTAGCGCTCTGAAGGTTTGAAGTGATGACTCAGTTTTCACTGAGCACAAAGACATAACAAAATACCATAGCAGAGCGATTATGTGCTAGATGCACAAACAAATTACATATTTACATCAAAACATAGAACTTACAAGAATGAAGAATTCCTTTTATTTTCAACTCTGATGTATTACAGCACAATGACAATGTTCACCTGAGATCCTGAAATGGGTTTTTCCACTCAGACATTTTCCCTTGTTGTCTGTAATTAACCTGACCTTGTCTAACCCCTCTCTGTCTCTCTGTTGCTTTTGATTTGCCATTTGTATCAGTGTGCAAATGCTAATTAAACAGTCATGGTATTGTTACTTTGTAATACAAAATCTTAATCATTAAAAAAAGTTAGTAGACGTGCAAGTGTGTGTATTTGCAATTTAAATTATCTCTATTTTACTAGCAATTAATTTCTTATGAGTTGTACAACTTATTTTTATGTGTTCTGTGTAGTCTGCCTTGTCGTGTAATTGGGCATATTAACTAGTCTGCCAGACAATACCTTTGCAGGAGGATGATTTGCTGAGAGAACTGGGCAGGATAAGCAAATGACACCAGACCTGCGATGAAGGTCAAAGTCTACGGCGTTATAGAAGGTGTCTATGAATTTAGTTGGCCTATTCAAACATCTTGTGAGAACTGTCCACGAGTTTGGAGCACAAACCCATGACAGCACACAGGAGTGAAAGGACAGCATACACAGCAGCACAAAATAATGTCCGCCACTGCTATCACCGGAGGAGTCCATGATCATCACATTTTTCACATGCACCAAATTCCACTATTCTATGATGCAGTCCTCAGGACAGAGATGCCTAAGAAGACCAATAATCACCCAGTGCAACACCACAGTAGCGTATTGCTCAGAAGGTATTGTTATGTTGGACTGTATCAGCAACACTATACCTTTGTGAGGTTCCGGCTGTATCGCTGTGCCACTGTGGGTTATCACACGCCACTTCCACCCTTGCTTCATAGGAATAGGATGGCAGATAGATGCTGTACAAGACGAGGCAACCCTCAGCACAGCTCCTCACATGCATTCAGTCATGCTCAGTGATGAGCCACAGTGCTTTCTATACCAAAATACAGATACCAGCAAGGAGACTAACGTAAACATACACCTTGTCCAAACATTGTATTTGGTCACTCAGGACTGCAATGTACATTCACAAGGGCAAGTGTGGAAAATGGTGAATGATGATATTTTGTTTCCCGGGATCTTATTAATTTATTGCAGTGTAAGGATGCACAGTTAGTCACATACCTAACAGTAACAATTATTTACACCAAACTGCCAAGGAGGTCAAGTGTCAGTGTCCTAACCTGAGCTCTTCCTGTGTCACAACACCAGAAGACAACAGGAGAAAGATCATTTGGCCTTTTTACAAAATGAGCAAACCTGCAACACGAGAAACGGCAAAGAGGAAATAAAGGACATGCAATCAGACACAAAACAACAGTCCGTAAAGACAATTATTTAATTCTACACGGGCAAGCTTTAAAATCTCATTCACCCGGGGTTCAGCCCTGCTGCCGAGTGAGCCTGCTAAGTAAAACAAAGGATGGCAAGAATACCTCCACTTTAACACCATGGTAGGATATGTTCGGCTATAATTGATTTAAATGATTTAATCTGAAAGCGGCCTTTTCAGAAAAGTGGGGGCATCTCTCTCGCTGCATATGAATGTTGTTTACCTCCAACTTCCTTCCCCCTTGCGGCAAAAAAAAAACTGCACGAGACAACATTTATATTCATTAGGGGACGCCACTATCTTCACATATTAACTTATACATTAAACATGACTGCAGAAGAGCAGTCGGAGAGAAAGGCTCAAAGATTTTCCCTAAGAGCTAATTTCTGAAAACCAGAACAGTTCCGAGTAACGAGAGGTGCAGCTTTCTTCTCCTGCAGACACACTTGCTCTCCGAGGCTCCAGCAGTGATCGCTGAGCAGGAGGATTGATGTTGAAAACTGCAACACCGTGGGCATGCAGGTGGACATGGTACTCTTCTCGAAGGCGAAACACAAAAGGCAGCTTCTTTATGGCTGTGAAATGGCTGCATTTGATGTGCATTCAGAGGTGATGGAAATCATCTGCCCTTTAATTCCTCAAGATCTCATGTTTGGAGGGATTCAAGTCTTCGCACGAGCGGAATTCAGCCATGAAGGGCTTTGGAACAGGAACAGGCTTGTTACGGCTGTCATCAGACATTAGCAAAGAGCCCTGCAATCTGCACATCTTTACTGGGGGGTGAAGACTTTGGCTTTAAAGCGTGTTCGATTGATGGAGCATATGGAGTTCAGAAATGCACTCAAAGCAAAATGGCTCTGCATAATGGCCACTGGTTTGAGCTGGCAACCTCCTGGTAACACGCTCTTCACTTTACCCAGTAAATCAGCCAGTCTCCAAGCCTGGCATTCTGGATTTGCACACTACAACAGCATGTACATCTGTAGCAGCAAAGGGATTAAAAACAGGAGACAAGGGCAGAACCAGGCCTTGCACCAGGACTGTCTTGATAACAAGGCTTGTACCAGAGCCACAGATCACTCAGTCTCCTCAAGGAACTAGCCACAGGCAAGCAGCCTAAGAGAGGGACTGCTGAGAGACAGATTTATTTGTGGACAGACAGAAAGGGGTGGTCACAGCAGATCAAGGACACCACCATAGGGAGAACAGAGTCATATGTCTTTAAATACAGAATTGTCATGAAGGAATCACTCCTCAAGTTATCCTTTGAAACTTTAAGTATAGGGACCCAGATTTAACAGTGATGTCAACTACTGGGGAAGGCAGCGTTTCTGAGTCATGGCATCACCAAACAGTAAACAAAAAAGTCAGGAAGAAAGAAAAGCGATAGCTGTAACAGGAGCAATTGAAATTCTCTTTTACTATGACTTGAAAGAGAAACATCAAATACAAATAACCACCCACCAGCCTCTCCCCAGGTGGTGTTTTCCTGTGGAGCAGACTCCATTTAAAGCACCGAGACCTACCAACAGAAAGTTGCCCTGGGGACAATGAAATCAAGGCACAAAACTCAATTATGGATTAAGGAAACTCATTCTTTCCCCCCGCGATGATTCAGTCTTGCAGTACACCCAGTCCCACCGAGAATAGGCGGAGCTGATGCAAACCTAAGGCACCCAGTCCCCCCAAACACACACGTGCACGCGCACGAACCCAGGCCCAGCCCCTAAGCACATGGTCCCGAGCAGACTGGAGTGGAGGAGGGACAAGACACACGTCTTTACAGAGCAGCTCGAGCCAGTCAGCCGGAGAAAAGAGAAACTACTTTATCGAGAACACCTCCACCCGCCGACCCTGCTGAGGCCTAGCTTTCCACAGGGATGTTGATTCTCATACATACTATGAGCGCATCAGTACTGGGACCAACAGTGCTTTTTGGTTTTTTTTAAGTCTCTCAATATAACATTGCAAAATGGCGTTGGTCCAGCCACAGGGATCAAGCCTGCATATATTAGGGACATTCAAATTCTTATTCATCGGCGCTCTTTTTTAAAATAATAAAAATAAAAACTCCACAGCAGTTGAAGCATTACTGTTAAATCATCACATGGATTAAAAAAATAACAATTAAATGCCAGCATCCTTCACCACCACATTCAGGAATATTCCTGTCTCTCACAGATTCTGTTACCTCTCCTTCTGTCTAACCCTAAAGGGGGCAAAGTATATAAAGTATTATAAAAGGCACACACAGCACAAATAGACCCCAATGGTTTATTTCTGTGTAAATCAGGAGACCATGACAAACACAGCACCCGAATAGCAGCAAAACAGCCAAAACCCCACCACTAAAACAGCTACAGGTAATTCAACTTCAAACAGGTGTGATTTCACATTACACTTAAAAGATGCAACTGTGCATCATAAGTACCATGAAAAATAACAAAAAAAAGCACCACTCAGAATCCATAAAAAAACTACTGAAAGATAAAGAAAATTAAATTTACAATCATTGCAAATAAAATCTTTCACATTTAAAGCA